TGTTAGTTCATATAGTTCCAGTTGATAGTACTGTTTTCGATAAAATAGAATAAAAATGTTCAAAACATCAGTCTAGGAAAATTCCTTTCTGTAAGTAGTTAGTTTCAACTATTTTAATAGTCTCGATTATCTTTGGTGTTATTAAGGTAATCAGAAAATAGGTTAGTTGATAACGATTTACAATCGTTCCACTTGCTCATATAACCTACGAACGACAAACGTTCTTAAATGAACTCATTTTCAGCAAACAAGCTATTCACAACATTGTTTATTGTTAACAAACGTGAGACGTTTTTTTTGCATAAAATCTTCTTATGCATTTTGTTGAATTTGAATTTAATACTTCAAATGACAGAACGCTAGAATTATCATATGAATATAAAAATAATTTTTTCACTCTTTCGTTTTTACAAAAATAAACCATAAATTGAAACTTTACTTTGCTTGTTTATTAGCTACAATTACAAAATATTCATTTTATAGCTTTGAAACTAATTGATATGATATAGGCAATTAAGAACGAAGTCATGACTTTTTTCTACTTCAATAAAACAATTATCGTCACAGATGTTAGCTTTCCTTGTTTATCTTGCATTCATTCCTATATAGAACATTATTTTTGGAACCAAAAAGTCAAGCAAATTAAAGAGTCTATTTTTTTGTTCTTTTCATTTCTCAAGCATAATTTATACCATCGTTCCAGTTTCATTAATTCTTATTATCACATGTGCGAACAACGTGCTGTATGTATTTCTCATCTCACTAGTTTATATAAAATATAATTCTTCAACAATTCCTTGTATACATACAGAATTCGATTGATTCTCATTGAACTTGATTATTAGTTATATATATTTAGATTGAGCTTTTCTTAAAACTCCTATACTTCTGTGTGAAAGGAAATTTTAAAAAATATTAAACTTGCTAAATTAAATGATAAGAATATTTGATCGATTAACTGTATACATATTGTTTTTAACATAAAAATATCGAAGAAAACTAGAAAGAATTTCGGCAAAAAATATGTAAAGCAGGTCAAATGAAGGTCGATAAATTTGTTGCATATTGTTGTTACCTATCCATTTTCGTTACTAATTTCATTTATTTTTAGATAATTAAAGGTTTATCACTTAGCCTTGCGGTGTTCATTGACTTATTCACAATATATATGAAATAGTTTGTGAAAAATCTCAAACAAAACTGTCTTACAAAAAATTTTAACTTTCATACGGAGATAAAAGAACAATTGCAAAAGTTATTTTTTGCCTCTTTTAAACGTGACAAAGATGAAAAACCAACAGATCTAAGTCAATTATCTCGTAAAGTTATTCTTCGTCGATTAAAGGATTTCTCTTATTTATTATAGAATTATTTACTTGTAAGACTAAGGTATCTATCAAAACAGTCACCAGCACAATTTTAAATATCTCAGTTTGTATGTTCCCTATAATCTTTTTGCTTCAATCTAACAGATATTCCAAGCATGATCAGTAATACATTATATTCATTTTTTTGTAATTAAAAACTCTGACATCTTTATTTTTTTTTCTATTTAGTTCGGTTCTAGTTTTTCAATCGAAAGATGAACAACAAATCTATAATGGAATGATAAAAGCAAGAAAAAATGAAATATTTTATCGTCGGATGATTATCGATAAAATTATCAAACATTTTACTAAATAATTTTTTTTTTCGCAATAAATATTATAGTTCTGTAATTATTTGAATAAAAGTAGTGTAGAATAAAAATGATCACCATCTAACGTGAATTTATATCTGACGTATCAAAACTCTATTACCTACAAAGTAATGACAAAATTAAACAGAATTGAAGAATAAAGTAAATATCAAAATAAGCAAAGCATCATTCACGATATGTCGTAAAAAAAAGAAATTTTTATTCAAATTAGGGATTGATGTTTTGCTGATTTTACAAGTTTCATGTCAATTTGACTGATATATTCATCTCAATACATAAACAAACATCAATGAAGAGGATCATACATAACTATTTATCAGATGATTCATATAAAAGTCATTGAAAAATTTGAAAAACTATAGTATACATGTAGTTAATATTAAAAGTTCATTATGATTCATTTGTTATGATTCAAATTATTAAAACTGTACACTTTTTTCATTACAATTACTAACTGTTATCTTAATCAAAATTTCAACTGTCATCAAATATATGGTTCTTTTTATTCTAGACTGAGTTTTCAAAAACAAAAATGCGTCCTTTCTTTTTTGTAATCAGCGACTCTGATCTTCGAACATCATGCTGGAAAGATCTTAAAAGCAAAGAAATAAGTTACAAAACATGTTCCTAATAATCATAGCATCTTCAGTCGTTCATTCTCGACCTTCTTCAAACAACATTTTCTCATCCAAGAATGTACATGATATGATCTCAAGAAAACGGCACTTTGTCTGATGATCGTTGAACCGTCGTAAAAGAGATGTCAAGGTCTTTATATAGTATAAGTTTTGTTCGATTTTCTGCATGACGCTTCGTTCACTCAAAGTAAAATCCAGATATTATAAATATTCTATGAATTTTGTTTTCATTATGTCAATATTATGAGGCGAGACTCGGTACTCATCTAAGCAATGACTTTTATTTTAGTCAATTGATTTATAAACCATACTGCATCAATATGATGTTTCAATAAATGATTGGATATGATTTTATGAAAGTTATATAGCTAAGCATATCCGAGTAGAAGAAATTATTTCCAACAAATAGTAAAAGTTAATGGCGACATATATAATAAGGATTTGATTACCATTAATCAAGAAGAATACTACTCAAGAACTGATATAATATCTATTTATGATATCTTTTCCACAAAGTTTCCATTATAATAGTAAATTTTCATCAATTCGATACGTCGAAGAGTTTACATTTTCTGTACAATGTCAAAAACCCCAAACTGAATTAATAATGCTTCACACCCTTCTCACACTCTAAGCTGAGCTCAGATGTCATCTAGTTTCTTTTATTCATTTTCAAAAATAAATACAGATATAAGATGAAAGCCCTGATATTAACAATTTCTTTCAAATAGAACAAAGTCAAGCTTTCAATTATGTCATCTAGGAATATATTGAATAGTTTACAAATAGAACATAGAAGCCATAAGAATTTGCATATGAGTGCAAAGTAGATATTTATTCAAATAAAAAACTTTTCCTGATTATTACAAAGTTTTACAACAAATCAATAAACTTGTTTAATATTCCTTGTCAAATTTGATTGTTTCTGTTGAGTTAAGCTCTTGAATACTATACATAGGACTATGACGATGACAAATGTCATTCAATCTATTAAATCACATGAAATAATTTGTTTTGAAAAGTATGTGCATTTTTTCTACAGATTGATATTAATATAATAAAATCTCAAATGGATTATTGGTTGCACAATGATATTATTGTATTTTGTTTCATGCAGGCAAATGTAATGATAAACCATCATCAAATATTGTTTGATCTTTCTGTAAACATATCTAGTCATCTTTGGAATGTTACATTTTTCAATAAGGAATCTGTTTACCAAAACTACGAAACTAATTATCTTCTATGAAATGATTACATATAAACATAATGATATTGTACATATATATATATACATAAATAAATAATACTATATATAAGTTGAATGACCGTCAATCGGCTTGTCCAAACGTAACGCTGTTACGTTTTTGACACATTCTTCTTCAACTATCTCGAAAAGTTTAAGAGCTAGGAAGTTCGTTCAAACGTCATTCGACGCAGCTTATCGAACTTTATTTATCGTATAAAAATGGCCTTTTTTGACTGAAGTCTCAGGCATCTAGAAAGGTTTTATCATGGCGTAACGCTGTTACATAAAAGGACCCTTTTTTTCCAGTGCCGCCAAGAAAACTCTAAATTCTTGCGAAACCATTTCTTCAAATGTAACGCTCCGAGAGTCATTTTTGTAGAGCATTGAATAGGCTTTCAGGCAGTAAAAAAAATTTTCTCTAAAATATTTTTGCTCAGATAAAAAATGCAAAAAACAAACGTAACGCTGTTACGTTTTTCGTAACGCTGTTACACAGTTTTTTGTTGACCAATTTTGAGGCACTTAATGTACTCAGAATGACTTGATTTTTATAAGTGTTACTGTTTCCTTTGTAGACAATCTCCTATGCAAAAATGAGATTGATACATCGATCTGAGAGCTCATAAACTGAGCAGGAAGTTGGGAATTGTATCGAAGTCTCCAATTTGTTCTAAGCTGCCAAAGTCAAAACTAAATAGACCATTTTGTAGAGAATTTAATTCTGCATCGAATGGTATGTCTCTTGACCTTTGTTGAAAAAATTTCTTGGTCAAAAAATCCAAAATACGGTTTTTGAAAACTTTAAAATCTAGTTTTCGATACCAAAATCTGATTTTTATACAAAATTAATACCAAATTCGTAATCAGCGTAAAAAACTGCATCTAGTACCCCATTGAGATCTGTCCAATTCGAAAAAAAATTTTTTCAAAACTTGATCAGCGAAGTGTCGCGTTACGTGGACAAGCCGCAATATACTAATCCAAAATGAAAAAAAAATAAATGCAATAATTGAAAAATAAAATTTGACTGTGTGTAAAATTTGATGAATTACTTAACACATTGAATTAAACTGACGTGTTTACTAGTGCAAAAAAAAGAGTATATAGTGAACGAACAGAAATGACTTGATTGCATTATAAAATATAAGAAGAATTGAGTCCATATCCAAGTATTGAAAAACGAGATACGGATATGATGGTTTTTGTCGATTATCATATCATGGCATTGATATATAAAGATAATTATTGAAAATATCTGAATGTAGAAAATTACAAACTATTCATCGAGATTATTGAGAAATTGCATGTTTAAAATATATTGCATATGAATTCTGGAATATAATATCTGGCTTGTTTTAATCTTTGAGTTTTTCATTTCAGACGAAAATAAAACATGAGTAAACAACCTTTGCGTTTAACCACATGGTTGCTTTAATTGTTGTGCGCGTTCCTTGCATTCATCCGCTATTTTAAGACATTGTTTAGCTTGTTCACGTAGATATTCTTCAATTTGTAACCATAATCTCTGTAATAAATCGTCTTCATGATCGAACATCATTAATTTATCACAGTAGTCCATGGCCCAATTGGTATATGTTTTTATTGATGCGCAAAATACGAATGTGATAAGAACATTGGCAGAATCATAGATTAATGGTACAATTTGTAAAGCGAACGAGCCAGAAGTGATGAGAATAATTGTTTGTTCTAAATGAGAATTGATATAAGAAAGGCATGCATGAACTTCAGTAAATATTTGTACATATTGATAATTTCTTAATTTTGAAAGAAAGCTACTGGCTGAATCGGTAGAATTTGAATCGAGCCAAACGATTATCGGTATATTATTTTGCATTATACTAATGTTTTTTGCTAAAGCTTGATAATGAGTAGAGAATATCGAAATCCATTCGTCTTTTATATACCATCAGTTTCTATTGGATTTTTCTAAACGTACGATGAATATTATTCTACAGTAGACAAAAAGTATTATTAATTCTCTCGCAAACTATATTAGTCATGAAAATTGAGTAAATTATTATTAATATACTCCCTTTTATCCTTATCTGTTAGTCATATGAATCACTCTAATGCAATCCTATCTATGTATTTATCTTATTTTTCACCTTATAAAATATTTTTTTTTCATAGAACCTGATGTCACTGTAATACGAATCCTATCGGATTGAATAATCATACACGAATGGAATAACCGATTATATCGTCTGGTTGAATAATGAAAGCTATATTTTATGGCATATAAGAAGTTGTTTTTTGTATGTCAAGTTTTGAGTATATGAAAGTCAATTTAGTATCATTAAATTAGCGTACAAAATTACGATTAGTTGCATCTTAATGTGGCGAGTAGCCTCAACAATAGAAGATATGACCATGCGTCAAGCTTTGCCAGAAATTACCCTTAAGACAAGTTTAAGAAAATCTCTACGTGTAAGATTGCATACTTTACGCAAGTTGGAATCCAACTCACTCTCAAATTTAGTCGAGTGAGTCCAATTGTATGACTCTACAACAAATATCTTTATCCAGCAATAACAGTCAAAACTATATCTAAAAATGAGTTAAGAATCGTCTAATCATCAATTGAAATATATTGCCACTAACTGAAGCTTCCGTGTCTCCTATCAAAACGTCAAAGTTCGTCAGAAAAACGAGAAATAAGATCAATGCATAGTCAAATACGTCGAAGTGTGTATGTTAATAATCAATATGATTTGTAGGTTTCGTCTCTCTAACAAAGTGGATTTTTGGCCAAATAAGTTGTCTGTCACTACAAAAAATTTCAAATTTCTGGAAAGGGTAGATTTTACTTAGAAATAATCGATTTTTGTAAAAGAATAAACATTGAGAGCAAGAGATAGTTAGATAATCTATATTGTATATCATCCAGATTAGATGATTATTAATAAATCAATAATTCTGAGCCAATGTCTAGAAGTATTTTCGTTATTGAAGAGTAATTAAATATCAAAACACACTCATACCTACAACCAAAATCAATGTTGAAAAACGACTGAGAATCTACTTTCACAGGTTGTTGATAGTGTTGAACTGAGGGCGAGTTGATCCTTAAGATAAGGACTCTTGAAGGCCTACGCCCACTGAAAATATCAATTCAGAAAAATAGAAAACAGTAATAATTCAGCAGGTGGAGAGAACTAGCTACTTGTTCCCAGGACTGTATGTTTCCATTTTATATATTCTTCGATATTTAATTCAAATCTAGCAAATAAGAATGAAGCCTTTTGAACATAAATCTTCAAAAATTAAACGAGTAATGTCAAGAAAATATTTGAAAATCTTTGTGATTGCGTACAGCGTATATTTATAATTTTTCTATTGAACTCTTTGTTGGCACAGCCTGGCGAGATTTCTTTATCAAATAATGATGCTGATCTTATTATTCCAACATCCTTCGTAAAAAACTGACGATTATTGTTTGACCACCAGTCGATTCGCACATTACCTGGAGTCATGTTATAACGAGGATTCTGTCGAATTAAACAACTTGGTTGTTGCAAATCAAGATAATATCATTGCTATTGTATGTGGTACATAATTGATGGTAGAAGCCATCATTGAAAGTACCACGACCAACTTTAATATTAATATTGTCATTTGGAGTACACATACTATAAACAGTCCCATAATCAGTGTTGCTAATTACTAATTTTAAGTGCGTATTGCATCTTTTATCCACATTCCTAGGTGAACCGAATGATCTAATCGAAATTAAAAGCCTATCAACATTTAAACTGTTTGGATGATGTGCTGCATAAATGCTGAAACTTCTGTCTCCACATATGTTGTGTATTTAGTACTTAGATACAATGTGAATATCTTGGTTCGAAGAAAACATTCTTCAAAAAGTTGTGCATGATGAACTTGAAACAAAGAAATTTATCCTTGAAGTCATTTAATTACGTTCCAAATTTCAATGTTATTGAGTTGGCCTTAAATATTGATGTCAACATTGGGATTTTAAGAGTATCGTGTCGAAATGCTTGTTATAATGTATGAATAGGAGCGAAAAACTTCAAAAAAGGTTTTTGAGAAGTAAAGAGTCGCAATCAAACAAGCAATAATAAACTGGAAACTCTACTTTTCTTTTACCATATTAACATTCCCAGCATGAACTATCAAATTGAACAAAAGGCTGTATCTTATTCTAGAACTTCAGTTGTCTTGCAATTCAAGATATAAAATCTATATGCGATACGCAAAACTGTACGGAATATTGTACAGGAATAGATTCTAAATGAAATATCTTAAAGTGACTTGGCCCAAAAATGTCTTAACAGTCATTCTACTTAAGATCAAGATTTAGTACCATATAGGGTTCTCAATAAAATTCTGGGATTGGCGTAAAACCTTTCCTCCATTGCAGAGCAAATTGTTTTGAGTATAGCATTAAACTTTTAGTTTTGGTAAAGATTTTCTTCCCGATATGTAAACATGTTATGAATGATGTTTCTTGGAAATTTAGCAGGACTACTCTAAGAACACAAGCGAATAATCACTTTTCTGGTTGGCTTTCTTCCAAAACATCCATGGGATATCTCTCGATCTTCTTCTTTTGAAAATATTAATGCGTTGATAATTGCCTGATTGTTTAAAAGAAAGTTTGACATGTCCAATTATATATAATCGATTACGGTGCACTTAGCTGTAAAATAATAAGCAATTAAATGAGATGGAAAACGCAAAGAAGAATATTTTTTCAATTTTAGGTCAATTTTATTTTAACAAAAACAAAAATGAAATATTGTATGTGAGTTGTGACTATTTTTTTCTAAATGAATGTTAACGACTTACTACATAAACTCCTTGAGTTTCGAAACAAATGGTTTCAATTCATTTATTCGATTGCCTGCTATCATGCATACTGAAAATTTGTATCCAAAAATAAAAATATTTTATTCATACTTCACGGTGAGAATACTTTAAGAAATTGGCCTCATGTGAACACAAAACTTAATCGTATAATTTGCCTTAAGAAACAATTCTTTCGAAAACAATAACATGACATCATATTTATTTCATTTCAGTGTGGAAAATTTTCTTTTTACTTGCAATTTATCATTATAACTTTACGCATACAGAGCATCCTGATATTTTCGAGATCAATGAAGATCACTACAAGTTTAAGTATCGAGAATTGTAGAAAGAACTCTTAAATTCCCTATTTACATGAAACTAGACAACGAAATTATCAGAATAGTTACAACATGTCAGGTGTACGAAAAATTTGGTGAAGCTTCTCGTCCAGTATCTTTTACAGTTTTGGTGAACATCATTTGTTGTTTAATGATAAATCAATCTCGAAAATAAGTTGTCTACGATTTTATTTAGAAAAGTATCGTTAAGAACATGAAAAAAGAAATTTCAACGGTTCTTCAGCAGTTGAAGTTATAGTCGGCTTCCTTCAAACTGTTAATTGATTCCATTTTACAATGCATGAAACATTTCAACGATTTTATCACTGAAATCATGACATACTATCATAGGCTTGTTCGCTGAATAGGTAGACAGGTAAATGAATAGATAGATTAGTGGTTATTTATCTACCTATCTATATATTAACACACATCCAAAAAAACGTAGTACTCTAATACATTACATAACTATTAAAACTCTAGATAAAAACTAAAGAGAGCTATTTTTCTTCCTATATCATAATTTAATCTAACAGAAAGAACAAGAGAACAACAGCCTATGATCTTCAACACTACTTGACATGTATGTCTTGCTGAATAATTTTTTCACTGACAAGATGCGGAAACAAACGCATCCTCTGACGTAAGTTTTCATGAAAGCAGGCAAGACCTTCAAGATGGTTCTCCAAATTTATTACATTTTTTGTATTCTAATGAAGGCTTTCTGTCAGACAACATGCCTGTAGCTACCTAACTATCTATTAAATTATCATCTTTCTGACAACCTATCGAAAACGATGTGGAAAAGTATCATTTGTGGCTAACCTACACTTTGGTGTTTATTGAGTTAACTCATCACTGCAGTCATATAGGGCGAAATATCAATGATAATCCATGGAGATTTGTCATGGACGTACTCATAAAGAAAAAATCAATAGAGTACAAGAAACAGTATATGAAAGAAAAATTCTTAATATCGACAAATAGATCGAATCAATGCGAAAATGAAGGCAACCCAAAAATGTGTTTTTCATAGAATAAAAAGAAACTTTTTCCTATGAAAAAAACGTCGAATGATTAAATTCATCTTTCAATATACCGTTAAACATATATAGATATCATTTAGACACATGAACCTAGATGTGACTGGTACCTTCCAAAATTTATTCAGGGACGGAACTGAATAGTAAATTGCTTTTACGTTTAAGAAACAATAATAATGTCGACAGGATCCATTCAGTCATATAAACATATAGAAGGATATTAGTTGGTTTGACAATATCAGTTAGAAATTATATAACTTCTCCTGCAAATAGATACACTAGATGATCGTCACATGATTTGAGATCGGTAAATACTTGAATTAAAAAGATTCAAATACTTTCTACTGCAAAGAGAGTTTTCATTTGATGTGTTCGAGAAATTGAATACTATACATATAATCCATAATTTTGCTGATAGAATCTTTCGGTTAGTTTAATCATTTACTCCTATGATTTAATTAGTTTTCAAGTGATAACTTTTTATTTTTGAACTACTTTCTTGCCATTTTGAATAATAAATTTTCTGAAAAGAAAATACGAATCTGAACACAACTTATTGATTTATTCACTCATTATATTTTGATAGTCATGTAGATGTGTCCATTCGAGATGATCATTTTAATGTAGATTTTTTATTT